ATAATTACACTATTAGTAGGGATTCTAATCATAGCTTTATAGACCAAGTAAAATGATGGCTTTATACATATAGAGTGAAGGAATCCCAAGAAAGAATTTAGAGTTTGGCATGTTACTAAAGCCAGACAAAAGTCACAAAAAGAATTCAAAGAAAACAATTTCTAGGCATACATTCTTAGGGATTTACAATTATTCCAACAATAGATCTTTGGTTGATTACAAAAGAGAAGTGCTAAATAACCAGAAAATTTGGTCAGAAAATTAAAAAAACTATAATATTTTTTTTATCTTAAAATAAATTGATCTTTTTTCCATTTTTTAGTTAAAAGGGTAAAAATATTTTAAAAGGTAAAATATCATTCTGACCAAATTTTCTGGTCAAAAGATTTTTCCGATTACAAAAAATGATTTTTTTTTGGGATATTCACATATTATTATTTATTTACACTGACATGTTTTGAAACTAACAAGAAAAAAGGGTTTTTGCTATGGTTTCTTTAACATTTAAAATTGCATGAAAATCATCAGCAAGAAATGTTTTTTCTTTTTTCCTTTTGGAAGTGTGAAGTGATAGGGGGGAAAAAGCAATTAGAGAACAATGCTTTTTCTTACTTTTTTTTGTTTTCTTTCTTATGCTAAAGTGGAAAGATCAGTGAGTTATGGATCAAAAGGATATGTTTTTATACAGGAAAACACAGTCTTTTATTCTTTCCTTTTGATTTTTCCCCCTTTTCCAAAGATGGATTTTTATTATTTTTTCTCAAAAAAATTATTTCAATTCAAGCAAATGAATATGTAGAATTTACATAGTCAATCTCAACTAGTTTGGAATTACGACAGTCTTTCAAATTTTATATGAAGAATTAACCTGAATAATTGTCTAGTACTCAACCACCTAAACTAAAAACAACTAGTGAATATGCTCTCTTTATTCTATTTTATGACATCGTTTGACTTGGCATGATGTTTAAGGGGGAAAAAAGGTTTTGAAACTTATGGTCTAGAACAATCCTTAGATATTTATTATTGTGGTTGAAAATCATTTTATTTAGGGTAGAAAAAAAAATTAAATTTAAATTATTTTAAATTATAATAAGGTGACATTTTTTTGGAACGGACTAAAGAGAAAAGAGTGTCACATAAAATAGCACAGATAGAGTATGATATATGTATAGTATGTTTAAATTCTTGTATATTCAATATATGATCTATGTATATCGAATATGAAAAATAAACAGTGAATCTGAATGATTATTTGTGTAAAGATATCTTGATTTATGAGTTTCAAATATGAATTCATTGTCACAACTTTATTGGCAGTCATTTCCATATTTTTCTGTTGGACAAGAGAATGGACCCAATAGGTCACTTTCCAGGCTGGGTTTTACATGCACTTTACTTCAGAGTTTAGACAAAATTAAAGCCCACTTTTGATTTGATTTTTGGCTATTGATTAGAGCTCGAATCGGGGCGGATCCAATTCATTGGCAAATGAAAAATCTATCGTTTTAACACTCAGAAAAAAAAACCTAGAAAAGAGGAAGAGTCACTAAGACAAGAGAGCTATCACTTTCAGTGCCCCATTTAGGAATAATTGGGCTAGCTAATTGACCCAAAAAAAAAAAGAGGCTTGGAAAAAATATGAAATAATTAGAGAAAAGAAAAAGATACCACATATACCATTTTCAAATTCCTTCAAACAATTTCCAAACTTGAAAAAATATTGATTTAAAGTTTCTCTGCGTCTGAAGCCGTGCCAGATTAAAATATTCGATAAGCTATAGTTTTAACAAAAAAGAGGTAGTCCAAACCGTACTTAACAGTTTATGCTTATTGTGACTTTACTCCAGTTCTATTTTTGACACTCTTGGAATGAATTCTCAATTTTTAAGAAAAAAAAATATTTTTCAAAAGTATCTGATATTTTTAAAAGAGTTGGGATAATTTGTTCCCAAAAAAAAATCTCAAGCAAGTCCCACAATCCCCATTCCTAATACTTAACTCAAGCAGTGCAGTAGACTGCTAACATGGATCAAAATTTCCAAAGTTTTGATGAGATTCTACCAGCTCCAATGGTCAATCCATAAATGTCATATCATACTCTATCAAACATTAACAAACAAATAAATAAAATACTTGAAGAGTTAATTTGAATAGACGTTCATCCAACTACTTAAACTAAAAATAGTCACCAAATGTATAATGTGTATTAAGGGGTCGTTTGGTACAAACATTGATAATGCAGGGATTAGTAATGCAAAAATTAGTAACGCAAAGATTAGTAATGCAAGGATTAGTAGTGCAAGATTATTTTTTGTCAAGTGTTTGGTTCACTACTTTTCACTTAATTTTGTGTTTGATTTAAAACTCTACAAAAAAATTCTTTCCTATTATACTCTTGTGTTATTATGAGTGTTTATTTCATGTAATTGGGTCAAGGTAAATAACCGTTGGACCGGACAATTTTTTTTTGTAGGAATTTCTATTCCATTTAATTAGTTAAATCAAATATATATATATATATATATATATATATAATTGTTATTAATTTTAAGGTGTGATGTATCACTAAGAAGATCATTGATGGAACGGTGTATTTCTAATTTTTTGTTGGTCAAATATATCTTAAACTTAACATAGATTTAAGACTACTTAAATTGTTCAATACCAAAAGCTTATTTTTTTAAAAAAAAAAACAAATAGTTCAAGTGGGTAATCGACAAACTACCTTGAATAAAAAAAAAATCAAAAAAAAAATATTAGTGAACTCATTAAATTACACTAAACGGATTTGGAGAATTAAAGAAGAACATTTATAACCATTTCAATATTAATAAAAAGGAAATTAAATTTCAAAAGGAATAAGGGGTTAGTTTAGTCATTTAGGGGTCTTATCGAAGGTTTAACAAACCTTGGATTAGTTATCCCTCCATTTTCTAAGGATAAAATAAGACCACATATGGTGGATAAGCAATCCATGGATTAAATTAAATGAAGTAACCAAACAATGTATTAGATGAACTAAATTTTAATCCATGGATTATTCTATCTAATACCGCCTACCAAATGGGTCCAAGTTCATTTGTAGGTTTAAGGAAGATCCTTCCATGGTGTCAATGTGGACAGTCATGAATGATAACATTATAAATGCAGCACTAAGGGTATCAAAATTGGCAATTTGGAATGAATTTGAGCAAATTAATATAGATTGAAATAAAAAATGGGTTGGGTCAAGATGAACTAAATTATGGGTAATACCCAATCCGCCCAACTTGACTCTACTTTTCTTCTTTCTTTTTGGAGATATCAATAAACTTTCTGAATCAAATATTCTCCAAACAAGTTACAGGTTATAAATTTATACAAATAAATCTTATATTCTAGCTTATTAAGCATTATATCTATATATCTTACACATTCAAACCACATTACTGACAATCAATAAGTAAATATTCATGCAAATACTATAAGACACCGTTAGCCAATTGTAGTTGGTGAAGCACTTTATGCACTTGGCTTTTAGAAACAAACAAAAACCCATAAATTTTAAAGCGTTAAATTGGATAAACAAAATACAATCAAAAACCAAATTAGAATACATGAAACAGAAGATGAATTAACAACCAGATATACAAGGAGAAGAAAATCAGTAATCAGAATGGATTAAATTGGACAAGACAAACTGAAATCAATCCATAAAACATTATATGAAACACGAAACTGGAAATGCATCAACGTGGAGAATACCTAATGGCAGGTTGGGTTTGCACACATTGATGGGTTGAACTTGGGCTACTTTCACGGGTTGAAACGAGTTGTCCAAAATCAGCCCATCAGAATTTTATTCCATGCCCAACCTTTCAAATATAGGATAGGTTTGGGCGAGTCAAATGAGTGGGTTTGGGTTAATTTTGACACTTTTATGTACGAGTGAACAACAACAATAACATACATGCAATCCCGCAAATGGGGTCAAAGGAGAATATGATGTACACAGACCTTACCTACCTAGTCTTGTAGGGAAAAGATGAATGTACAATTAGATTTGATTTGTTGAGTAGAATTTGCTGTCTTTGAAACATCTTAGGTTCCTCTCTTCCCGCATTATCTCTTCCTCTTTGTTTTTATTCCAGCAGTGAAGTAATTTGGTTGTAGTCTTAGGCATTACCCACTTCAAACCAGCATGCTCAGAATATTTCCCAAAGTTGAGCAGTCACATTGCAATGTATAAAGAAGTGGCTGGCTGACAGTTTCCACATAAATGCCATCTACAGCACAAAATAAAACTTCTTTGAAGATTATCCTGTGTTAAGATAGCCATGAGAAGCAATGCCACCTTGAGATGGGTTTGTGTTCTCCAAATCTGAAAGCAAGGCAAAGTGCTATGTGCAGTTCATGTAGCATGAACAAACGGTAAAGCTTCCAAAAGTGCTGATATTTAGATGGAAAAGCACATTATATGAATTAGTACATGGTATGCTAAGTGAAAATCTCGTATACAATCAACTAATAACATTTGTTCTTTACATATCTAAAAAATAGGTATTGTGCTACATGCTAATTCAAGGGTTTCCATTATCCAGCTCTGGTACCAAGTAGGATGTTTCAAAAGTGATGCTAGCACCAAGCATTTATAAAAATCAAATTACATTTACAACTTGAGAGAGAAGGATTAGCTCAATGCAAATTTAGTGAACCTATTTGGTTGGGGACAATTTACAAAGAAAGACAAACTTTTGAAAGTTGTGTTATTAACCTGCCATGCATTTTTGTGGTTAGAAAATGGGAAGTTTAAAGTTGAATTGTATTTAAATATAGGAATATGTCATTCTTATGGAACTCACAAGAAACGAAAGAGTATCACATAAAATGGAATAGAGAGAGTAACTAGTTTGACAGTTAGCATAGTTGTTGTCTAAATGTTAGAAATTGACGGTACGGAAATAGATCTTTGTCACTGCTGGGAAGAAGGATCAAGTCATATTACCTGAGTTAACAAGCTAGTGGCAATCCTTCAGCTTGACTAGTTGTTGTGGATCAGTTTTATCTAATAACCTCAAATTTCATTGGTTGAAATATCCATTTTGGCATTCCCATTGGAACCAGTGTTGGCGGATTGTGCCAATTTGGCAGTGGCATGGATTTTATTTGCTATTGGCACAAGCATTTCTGCTGCCTTAGCCAATAGCTGATTTTCATGCTCCCTTGATTTCTCTATTCTCGCATGCTGATTTGCTAATTTAGAAAATAACTGCATTGCTTTCTCAGCAGCAGCATCCAAATTATGTAGTGCCTCTTCATACACATGGACAGTTTCACAAGCTGGTCGCTGCGTATCGGTTGATCCAGTTTTTCCAGTCTGCAAAGGTACAGAAAATATCTCAGTGAAAGCAAGGGAATTGTACGTAGTATTGCCTCCACAAACTGGACATTGATCCTTTGACTGTTGGGTCCTACATGTTTCCTCAGTTAGCTTTGGATGAGCCACTATGTCTATTGTGTACATCAAAATCAAAGGAAAGAATTAACATTTATTGGCACATGGAAGAATAAAGCGCAAATAAGAAAGAATTTCTCAGAAATTGTTTAAATGAGACAGATTCTGCTTGATACACAAATTATCCTTTTATTGACATAAAAGAAAATAAATGTATGGAAAAGAACATAATCCCGTAAAGTATCTACACTAGAAAGTTATGACAAGCAATTAGCAGTTTTACTACTATATCTTGAGATACCTTGGAGGATGAAGAATTAGGGTCAGTCATCAAGGAATGAAGGTTAGTAACTTTAGCTTGTGCCCACTTTGGGAGTCTTGAAATACTGAATTTAAATGCTGTTGCTGGTGAACTCATTTCTCGACATAGTACTCTCTGATTTACTTGGAAGAGTTTTGGGGTCATAGATATGCCTTCTGGTTGGTGATGATTAACCACATGAAGTTTGATTTGACCTGAAGTTGCTGGAGCAGCAAATTTTGCTGGGGATAGCGGACAAGCATTTTCCTTAATTTTCCTCAGCATTCTTAATGATAAAGAACCAGGGACTTTCCAAACAAAGATACAACCATCACTACTTACCTGAACTCACCAGAAATCAATGTTAAAATTGGGGGAAAAAAGCTAAACAAACTAGTGTAAAACAGGAAATATAGAGAAAATCCTTGTAGATAGGGGAAGTTTGTAGCAGATCTAGCATGGTTCATTAAGTCAAAGTAACATGAATTCAAATGTTTTGCACCACTCCCTCGCAGTGATGGCACCCAAGGTAGCCATCATCGACTTTGGAGTATTCTTCCAACCATTACCATCATGAGCATGGACTTAAGGACACATGGAGAGAGACTACTTTTACTTGTTCTAGTTTATATATTAAGGTTAGTTCTATTCTAAATCCTTTACATGTTTTCCTTATTTTCTTGTTTTCCCCATGCCAATCTATATTGGAGTCACCCAGATAAATCAACCAGGACGCAAGAGCTAACTTGGAAATGGAAGAGTCATCTAAATTATGTCCAAGTTTGGAGTTCATTATAGGTTAGTTCTCACTATACTGGTTGCCTGATGGGAACCAACTATGAAACTTCTAATTAGAAAGATCATAGTTCAGATAGCAGAACACTAAATCAGGAAAATGTCCATAGGATGTACTCACAGAAACGAGATGCTTGCAGTCAGGTAAAAAGATGACACCAGTTATAACATCACCATGCCCCACTGCTTGTGCGACCATATCCCCAGCCATAATGTCATATAAGCAGAGAATCTTAAAAGAATCTGAGCAAACCAGATAACTAGAGCTGGGATCCACAGATACCTGTAAAAAGTGATGTAGGTCTAACATAAAATCAACTAGATGATACCTATTCAATGGTTTGTCAGTATTTATGTACCTTGATAGGATCCCCTCCAATATGCTTAAATGACCTGATTAACTTCCCAGAAGGAATGCTGAATGTGTTAATCTTCTTATCCTAAGACAAAAAACACTCTTAAGTCTACAATTTGACGTAGTCTGAGTTATTAAATGTTCTGACATGTTATCACTAGAAGAAATAACAACAGCCTTTTTTTTTACACTAGTAATATTTAAAATAACAACAGCCTTATTTAATCATTATCTATCTGAATTCTTTCAGAAAGAATAAAGGAAGCAAGCACTGCAATTCACAATTTACCTGCCCCACAGTGACAGCAATCTCTGTGGAACCATCAACTGCCATGTCATATACAACTCCCGGTAAGACTCGATTATAGCAAGATATTTTGTATGCTGAATCGATCATAGAAACATCACAGAAAACCAGAGACCTGTCAGGCAAACACAAGAGTAAAGGGACATGACATATCATGCAGAAGCAGCTGCATAGAATGATTTTGGTCCTCAAAAGTGAAGTCGTGCAATGTACTAAAATTAAGTCATTCCTCAAGCATAAGTTTCAAAATCATGTTAAATGTTAAGAAGCTTATGGGTGTAGAGGAAAAGAGTATGTGTGTCAAGATGCTTATGCTTCAAACATATCAATTTCATCAAAATTTACTAGTTCCTTTCAAAGTCTACTCTAACCTATCCGCGTTGCAACTTATAATCTTAGCACCACTGCAAGCACATTTCACGCAGGTCACAGGAGCAGAATGATCACGAAAACTTCCGATGAGGTCAAAGTTCCTGAAATGGGAGTTAGTCAAGTTAGTTATAAATGACTATTTAACTTGTTGAACAAACTCAAAAGACCAAAGGCAAACCTTTGAACATCATAGAGATGAATCATGCCGTCCTTCCCCCCCGAGGCAAGAAAATAATGGCTGTGTGGACACGTACCAGCAGGATCATCAATGCTTTGCAAACTGAAACTCAGTGATAGAATTTCGCCATCATGAGCACCCTACAAATGTAAGGATAGCAGGTGTAATTGGGTTTACATGGCCATGGAGTATACACTTGGAAAAGAATTATAAGCAAGATACGATTTCAACCAAAAAAACTTCACCCAATCAGCTCATTAGAAGAAGCAAACCGCTTCAGTTAACTGCACTCTAAAGGTATACAGGTCTACCTGGATGCACATATAATCAGTTGTGTGTAGGTTGAATATATGAAGGTTTCCCAGGAAATCACCAGCTCCCAGATACATTCCATCTGAACTGACTGCCATTGAACGATAACCTGTAGAGGCAAAGCCTGATACCAGAGAATCACGTTCAAAAACACCAGTCCTCTCTGTTTATATACAAAAAAAAACAGAGTATTAACAACATGAATGGCATTTATAATAGAGATATTTGAGGCAAACCTTTTTTTATAACGTAATATATTATTTTATACTTGATCTTTGCTAATATATTTGAGGCAACCTTAAGCAAAGATTCAAGTATAGAAAGAGCACTTTTTGGTATCTTGAGGAAAGATGGCACACCTAAATGTGTAGAGCCTGCTGAAAAGGTACTCATAGATTTGTCTTCTGTTGGAAGAGGCAAGCTACTTGATTGTAGTTCAAGATCCCACAACCTGATACTGCCATCAGCTGAGCATGTTGCAAAGGAAACTCCACCAGAACATCCTTTAGCAACGCATGCTTTGGAGGGGTCATGCATGTGTTCGCATGAGAAATTCTTGATGTCCCATATGCAAGCACTATGTGAAACTAGCACAGAGCACCTGCTGGCCTGGAAAATATATCATGGGGCTATCATGATTATCAGTCTTACATATGCCACATAGTCGCAAAGTTGAGTTCCATCCCAAAAGAGCATGATCCATCATGGCTTATGTCAAACTAAAGGAAATAAGAAAGTCAAGGTTCGGAAAGAACTAAGAGTTTCAGAGAAACACCTTGTCAACATCCTGAACATCCCATATGAAAAGGCTGCGGTCATCATATATCACAACTATAAAGGAGAAGTTACCATCAAAATTGATGAATTTAGAAATATATTCCTTCTACTGAAAATAGCTAGTTACTTACCAAGTTTTTGCAATGTTGAAAATTGACAAGCAATTGCATTAGGTAGACTCTGCAACTGCTCATGTCCATTTTTTCCAATCATTACATGGCAGTCTGCAACACCTTCTTTACTGTGTCTGGTTTCAGGGTAGTATAAGCTTCCAGCATATGCAAGAGTGTTCGCAGAAAAAAGTTTAACTTGTCCATTATTGCATGCACAAGCAACCAACTTTCTGGATACAGATAGTCCAAAGCCTTTCTCAACCTGAAGTCCCGAGTACAAAAATGATGAGAAGACTAGAGGGCCTTATATTTGAAAAGGTAGTACATACCAGTTTATAGCACTTTAATATCAGAAAATTTCAGGAAGTACAGGATTTCTTTCAAAGCTTTCTTCAGTGTAATTGAGTGTTAATGTGCAAGTAACAATATATACCTGTAATTCAACAGAATTTGCAATAGTCATCTCTGAGTTAAGATGGCACAAAACCCCTATTAACAAAAGAAGAAATTAAAGTGCTCAGGGACGTGCAACAACATGAAGATAACAGATGTATGTTAAACTTGTAACCTGCATCTGTCAGTGCATAAACATGCGAAGCTTCACCAGTTTGAATATGATCAAGGAGACTACTCTCACTCCACATAGGAGACGCAATAGCTATGAAAGAGCATCCTTTATAATGACCAAGATTAGCTTGTTTTCCAATTGCACCTGATGCTGTTCTACCTATCATACGAGATCTGGTAGATAATCCCAATTTCCAGAACTTCAGGTGCTTCTTTCCTGCGGTGATAAAGAATCTTCCATCTGATGAGAAGCTAACAGATGCAATTGCGGAACTTGGTGTGCACCCCTTGCATTTTGTAATTAAAGTCTGACTTTGAAAATCCCAGAGGCAAATATATCCATCATGAGGATATCCAACAGAAGCAAGGTGTTTGCCTGCAGGTAGTAACATAATCAAGAAAACTGGAAAGAAGAATAAGACACTGAGGGTTATGTCCCATTTCATGTATCTCAAAGAAAACTAGTTGCTTAGATAAAGAGCAATGACTAATTACAACAAACCATCAGGTGAAAAGGCAATGCATGCTACGCCGTGTTGATGACTCTTCAATTCGTATTTCATAACCAAACTTGCTGCTTCCCATATCACTACAGCAGGATGAGGTCCTGACTGAAGCATTGACCCATCAGTAAGTGCAAAAACTGACTTAACAAAAGTAAAAATAAAAAAGCTAGTCACACCAGTTGAACAGAGCACTCTTTATATGTGCCTGTGTATGTATCTTTTACTGCTATTATACATATACAAGTAGGTCTTACCACTAAAATGAAAGACAGTTATACAAGCATATAGTTAATAAGTTTGAGCAGGACAGCCAATTTTATCCATGTTGCAGCTTTAACAAGCCATAGAAGCAGAAAGACATATTTTTTCCTGAAAAGGTAACATTTTTGTATATATATAGACATCAGCACAAATTGTGCTGGACAAAAATGCATAGTTACATCAGTCTTGCTCTTCTTACAATGTTTCTAAGTTCTAACACATCTAAGGTTGTGTCATGACTACCTATGTATTCGGACTTACACCAAAAAACTAAAACAAGAATACAATTTGATTTAATATTTAGTAAAGTGTAACCTGTATCTTCAAAACAAGCAGAGGAGACATATTGTTGAAGCTGAAAAGACAAACTGGAGAAGCGGTACAAAGGTGAATATAGCCCATCCAACCCTTTTATCTCTACATAATGATTCCTATTTCACCAAATTACTGCATTAATGGATAAAATAAACACTTAGCTATGAGCCTACGACCACCTAAGCTGGAGCAACATCCTCAAGAAACAGCACAGAGACCGGACTCTATCCTCAAGGGTGCACTGCAAGGGGAATTACTGGTGCAAATTTAAAAGACTGTTTTAGTGGGTACAAATCTAAGCCATCAAGAGCAACATCATAATCTTGCATTGAGACAATAAGTTGTTGTTCTGTTTCTCAAAGAGTCAGCATAAGCCCATGATGTGACATCCTTACAAAATCAAGTAAGACCTTATAAGCCTCAATTGACATGCATTTGAACTATACAACAAGGATATGGACCCACTTAAACCTTCAACACCTCATCACCATCAGTCTCGGTGCCAACCGCCATGAAGTTAATCTTTTTTTATTTTTTCAAAAAGAAGACTAATTATAAAACCATGAAGTTAATCCTTATGGCACTGGCTCATCATTGTGAAATTTCTTGAAGGATCATGCTTTGACTATCCAATGACTGGTACACCATACCCTCCTTGACCATGAGCTACCTCATTATAATCTTCAGACTACACAATATAGTACAAATGTATAAATTTCTCCAATTTTTTCATGTTTGAAGCTACATATAATTGACTGATGGCGATATCAGAAAAATGAAAAAGTCAAAACTACTTCTAGTCTATTCAACTGAACTAGTTCCTCTAATGCAAAGAAGACTCCGGAACTATGCCTCCTCCTACCTTTCTTATTCCCACTTGTCAACATTTAGACCTAAACTCTTAAATAGAAACACAAACGTTCAACCTCATTTGCTTACTTAAGCCTCACATTTTTTCCATCTAGATCACTACGTCATTCTAATCTCTTCAGACTACAAAATGTAGTACAAAACAAAAGCACAATTAGAAAAATCCTCCAAATTTTCATGTTTCATTCAAAAGCACAAATAGAGAAATCCTCAAAAATTTCATGTTTCATACAAAACCACAAATAGAGAAATTCTCAACAGATGACATACCTCTCCAGCAGCAATAAAACGTCCGTCACACGAAACCGCAACACAGCTCAACGGCTTCGGCAATCGGTTGGACACAACCAAATGCGACTGCGTGGATGAATCGACGTCATAAACCACCGCAACACAGCCTGCAATATACACACATTTCGAATTCGAAACTCCAGAAGCCAGTCCATTCGCATTTTCAGTTGTGAAACCGACAATCTCCTCTAACATCAGCTGCCAAAAAACAAAATCGAAACTGACACATTACGCTAGAAAAACACATGCAGATTGATTTCGGAAGCTATACATTGTAACAATAATGATCATACCTTCGGAATTTCAGTCTTCTTCTGCTTGCGAATCCGTTTCATCTTCTTCAATTTTAAACCCTAGATGTGATGATCAAAGGGGCACACTGATATCTGTAGCTTAAGGCTGAGTGAGAAGGGGCGGGAAATTAGCTCAAATAAAAAAGTGATTATGTTTTTGGCGTACGTTATGTTTGATTTTTCGAGAAAATGACAGAAATGACCTCTTAATTATACTGAATAGTTTTGGTTCTTTAAATTTGTCAAAATTTGATATTTTTAGTTTTCGTTAAATATTCACTAAACTTTACTTGTTTAATTTGATGGGAACAAAATAGAAAAAAAAAAATAACGGTAACTGCTCTGAGATTCCTCTCACTATTTTAACCCGAGACTTAACTCAATCATACATGTTCCTCATCATCATAGTGTAGGTTATACCAGTACACTTCTAGCCTTGAGGCATTTTCAAAGGACTTCCTTCAAAACTTTATAGTAGGGTTTTTCAAGGTCAACGAATACTAAATGTAAATCTCACTTTCTTTTTTTATATTTCTCCACTGATTTCCTCACAAAATGAATAACTTATGTCATTGATCGCCCCGAATGTAGTCATTCACACACTACATAAGCACTTCTCTTACGTCGATTGAGCGAGTGAAGAAGTGAATGAAGGATTAAGTGTTGGAATGGATAAAAAGGGAATGTGGATCAGATAAATTAAATTTGAATGTATGTTTTAATTTAGGTTATTTTTAAATTTTAATTGATTTAATTAGTGAGGTGAACACATGTTAAAACTAGAGTAAATTTTAGGTTTAGCAAACATAAAAATCATATTTGTATGATATAGTTAATAGTTTGTATAATTGTGCTTCATAACAAACTTTATATTTTTGCTATGGCTATTAATATGTATATTTTGGTATATATACAAAAGATCAATTGTATAATCTGTTTCGGTATACATATACAAAATAATCAATTGTATAATTTGTGTTTGTATAAAGCGAGAAAGACAAAAGAAAATTGGGCAGAGGACGATCTGCATTTGTATAATTATAAGTGTATATGACAAAAATATATGTATTTGTATTTGTATATACAATTTTCTCTCGTTTTATACAAACACAAACGCAGATTATATATTTGTGTTTGTATAAAGTGAGAGTGGCGAGCGAGATTCTTTGGGAAGAGAGGCGAATGAAAAGATATGTATATATACAGTTTTCTCTCACTTTATACAAACAGAAACGCATTTTATACATTTGTGTCTGTATAAAAGTGAGAGAGCGAGGGAGAGACTGCCAGCGAGAAAACGAGAGTGGCGAGCGAGAATTTCAGGGAGAGAGGCGAATGGCAACAGTTTGCCACGGGTTACAATTAAATTAAACTGTGGTTATAACATTTAATTTGAATTAATAGTTTATTATTTTATATAAAATATGCCAAAATCGTTTTCTATTAATAAATAATGGCACGAATGAACACTGCGTACCACATATAAATCGACCTTTAATGGATGATGAAAATAAATCTTTTCTCGAAAGTTTAGTAACATATTTAAACTTGTTTTCCCTTTGTCATAATAATATTTTATTTACCCACTGCTATTATTTTGTCAATAAATAAATTATTATTCTATTATTGTATTTTTACCTTTATTTTACTAACACAAACACGTACTGCGAATCTCTCTCAAATTTTATATCTTAACATGACGAATTATATTTTCATATGAATTATTTAAGTGAGTGGCTTCAACAAACCATGTTAATTATTCATTAAAAATGTATGTGGCTCACATGTCTATAATATAATAATTTCATACCAAGTAGTAAGTAATACAGTTCAACACTCAACAACTACTACTTAATCATCCTAACATCCTGAAAAAATCTGATTAGCAAGTAGTTTAAAAGGTACCTGAACTTAATTTATTTGATAATTGACTACTTTTTTTTTTGTTTATGAGGTTGATACAAAGTTGGTTTCCTAATTTGTTGAATTCTTTTTTTATTTCTCACTAGATCGTCACAATATATCTATCGATTTGAATTGAAAAAATTATGTCTCTATTGTTACAAAAATACAATTCGTATTTGATTTTGCGGCCTTAATTAAGGACCTACTCTTTTTTTCTTATTCTTTTTTTTTATTAGAATCTTGTATGAACGGATATTATAGTGGTTTATTGAACAATTTTTAATATACTATAGTTGGGAGGCAATAAATTATTTTTCACCTCAAATTTGTGTGTCATCGCTGCTTGATTCACTTCTAATCTAAAATCTTTCATAATTAGTGAAACCTTAAGAATAGAGTGCAATGCAACCTTCATAGAAGGTCATGTTGTGGTTTCTTTGAAGATTCAAACTCGAAATGAGAACAATTTTTAACTTGACACGGATTATTAGTTTAATTTTTGAACTATTGACAATCTTAAAAGTTAAAAATACCTCTCTACTTGACTAACTGAACTTAAATCGATCTCCTTTAATTTTAGTATGGTTGATTAAAAATTTGAAGAGTAGAAGTCTTACCATTGAAGGTCGTTCGAAGCTTCAATTTTTATAATACTTATATTTGAAGTGATTTGAGTTAAATTTGAGAAGAGGCTCAAGAAAAAAGACGGAAGACAATTTTTATATAATGGTGTATAATATTGTTAAAAGTGTTTATGCATCCTATATGAGAAAATTAACGAGGATGTCACACATTGCATTGGTGCAGAGTGGATGAAATGGAGACCCACATCCGAAGTCTTATGTGATAAGAATGTGTTATCAAGACTTAAGAATAGTTCTACAGAGCATTGGTTAGACTAGTATGTTGTATGGAGTTGAATACTGACCGATCAAGAACAACGTTCAAAAGTTGAAAGTTGTGGAAATGTAGATGTTGAGGTGGATGTGTTGGCGTATGCACTAAAAGAGATAAGAATAGAAATGAGGATGTCTGGGACAAGATAAGAGTGGTCTTGATGGAGGATATGATGCAGGAAATGAGACTTGGATTATTTGGACATGTAAAGAGGAGATGCACCAATACGGAGGTGTGAAAGGTTGGTTATGGATGGTTATAGTAGAGGTAGAAGTAGGCTGAAGAAGTGTTGGGAAAATGTGATTAGACAAGACATCACACATCTCCAACTTATCGAGGACATACCCTTAGATAGAAGTTTATGGATGATATAGATAAGAGTAAAGAGTTAGGTAGTTGAGGGTTATATCATTTAGTTTTTCATACCGGTAGTTGTACTATATATTGACTTTGGGAGTTTTTTCTTATTCATCTATGTTACTATTTACTGTTTGTGGCTCTTCTATTATCATATTGTTTTGTTATAATAATTGCTCCATTTTTAGTATGCGTTGTCACACTTGCGTTGAGGACTTATCAAAACTAATTTTTCTATCTTGTAGGGTAGGGGTGTTAAAAGAATATGAAAAATCGATTGAACCTAACTAAATCGAATCAATTTATACCCCTAGGAGTAACCAATTTAATTTTAAAAAGTTATACCCCCAGGAGTAAGCATACACATTATCCACCTAGACTTCACTTGTGATATTACATTAAGTTATTGTAGTTGTAGTAGTGTTTACACATCTATAGACAAACTTCTATGATTTTCAACTGCAAATCTTTTTTAAAATCAGTTCAAATCTCCATCAAACGACTTCAATTTGGGTAAACAGTCTCTTTAAACTATTTCTAACAAGTTTAAACAATATCCACTCTAAATTTGTCACAAAATCATATTTAAAAGTTAAATCCATTTATTTGAATTTGTTTAACAATAATGAATTATCTTAAAAATCTATTTTTCCCTACCCAAATAAACTTGGTGTGCACCACTTGCATTTTGTTATCAAAGTCTGACTTTGAATCTTGACCAATTGTTTTGAATTACAACTTTGCAAAATTATTGACCTATTGTGTAGACTATATATTTATATGTCATTCTCTCTTAATTTAACATAAGAAAAATTTATTATATTAATAACATAACATAAAACTCCAATTAAACATGTGGTACAAGTCAATTCATATGCGTGTGTTTTTCCTGTTTGGTGTTAGGTGAATTCTACTTGGTAACAATTTGTCTATATTTTTCAGTATTAATGTTAGATAAGACACGTGTCAACATGTTGTCATTCTTTTTTTTTTTTTGGGAGAACATAATTAGATTAAACTATTTAAACAAATCATTGCCGGTAATATAAAAAGAAATTAATCTTGCAGAAAAATGTTTAAAAGAAAAAAAAACAGAAAGTTACTACTTACTCCCCATCATTACTCAAGATTATTTTATTAACAATCTAATAAAATATAAACTTAAATCACGATATTTCATTTAGATATTCAAATTAAACTATGTTTTGATTGAATACCTCAATTCTCAGTAACGTGTTCTGATTAAACACTTTTGATTCAAATTTGAAAAATCTTTTATGCATGTTTTCATCCGTTTATTAGATAGTTAATTGTGATCTTCTTTAATTATACGCATCAATCTTCTGTGGTTTTTTGTCTTATTGAGGGAAAATGTCTAACTAAAGAAAATGACATAGTTTATGTGGTTAACTTAACTACATAATAGATAAATTAAAACATATGTAAAAAGAAATTAGAAATTTAAATCGAAAGTATAATTGAAATATTTTATTAGAAACTGAGATATTTAATTGAAATATGGATTAGTTCAAGTATTTATATGAAATATACAGATTATCTGAAAAGGTTAATTATATATTAAGCCAAATATAAATAAGAAATACTTGCCCAACTACTTTCATTTTAGCTAATTAAACAGCACAATGAATCAGACTTTGAATTCAAGGTTGAAATCTATAAATTGTACTATAATGAGGAGATTGTAATGTGAAAAGCACAAGTGTTTTAATATTAGTCTTAGATATGAATTTTCCTTCTTGTTTACTTTTTTTTGGTCATATATGGATAGTGCTACTGTTTTTTGCTTATAAACTATATTTTGTGAATCCACTATTTGGCCATATATCATGGTAATTTTGGGTTGATAGATCATGTTCATTAATTTGGGAATTA